AGAAACGGGGAGGGCCGGGGCGATGATGATAACGATGGTGATGGTATAATGGTGATTCTTAAATCTTCGTTGGTATTGGTCCGGGGTATTGGTAGTTATTTTCTATAATTCATTTTTCTTATACTTATTCATCATATTTTTTTATATTTAGTTTTACTGCAGTAAAGTCGTAACGAATAATCCCCTCCCCCCCCCCCTTCCGGGAACGGAGGTACCGCATGCGTGTTCCCCGAATCTCCGGCTCGTAACAAAGAAAAAGATCCGTATTAACTTTACACACTGGCTGGAATGCTCCCCAGGCAGTGGAAAATGTGCACACATTGTGTGCGGGTAAGCCTGAATCCGATGACCGGGGTAATAATATATCTGTAAAGCGCTTAGGTACATCGTTGGATCGGTGTATTGAGCGCTATATAAAAAACCGGATTATTATTATTATTATTACACTGGACTTTTGCTGAAAGAGGGGGGGGGGGGTGGTGCTGAAAAAGCTCGTATAACAAAGAAAAAAGATCTACCCGTATTGAATTTACACACCGAACTTTTCTGAAAGGGGGGGGGGGGGGTGCTGGGAACACGCACTTGGGGATAAGTTACAACCACACCCCTACTTTGTAGCCGGGTCGCATTTTGTAACCATGAGCTATTCAGCCTATATAAGGGTTAGAACAAGTAGACTATAATCTTACCGTACCCTGATTCATGAAACGTTTCTTGGCAGAAAATTGCATGCTCATTACACTCTACTCTGCCCGTTTTGATGGGATCAGGAGTGATACATCCGAGTTAGAGCAACTACATGTGATATACACTGCCACTAAGCAAAATTAAAGCTAGTGCATACACCCTTACGCATGAAACACAAATATGCCCTGTTGAATTACGTGGCCAGGTTTGTTTGCCTCTGTTAGTACATGTACTTTGGTCCTGTGTTGAAAATATTTTAATTGACAATTAATGCACCCCTATACAGCATGATAATGGAAATTGCATCGTTATCATCATCATCATAATCATTACCACCACGATCATCACCAACATTACCAGCAGGATCATCTTCATCATTACTAACATGGTCATCAACATTACCTTCACCATCATAATCACCATCATTATCAACACCATCGTTATCTATTTACTGTAAAATTTGCCATGAATTTGGTTTAGTTGGCCAAAAGTTAGCTTTCAGCTTAAATTCGGATAACATAGGCCGAAATATGTAAAGCATGTTTCATTGTAAAGCATTTTTCTTCATGTTGTGGTTCATACTTTGAAGCAGATGATATTGTTTTATTGATATTGCATATTCACAATTATACAGGACCAGTTTCAAGGTGTCATGTTTTATAAGTTGTAACTGTTCTTATAGCAATATTATTGGTCTACCAGGTGGAGCGATACTAGCCCGTATATATTTAAGATGTGAATATGAAAGGGGTTACAAAATATGATGTCACCTCCTATAGGGAGTTATGATGTATTACATCCACAAACACTTAATGGAAAAAACTAAACAAAGCAGGTGAAACTTGCGAGATGTATAGAGATAAATTATGATCTCATGTCATGTTTATTTCTCTGAAGAATGTTCTTCAAAACATAAAGAGAAGATGCATATAAGCCTACTTTTTTTAAAATTTATAATCTTATGTCCACGGCCCAGGTGATGGCAAATACTTCATTATAATTTGTTTAAACACCGTTTCTTTGTATCATATTCATACATGTTTATAAAGAAAAAGGCAATAAGAAAATTAAGGAGTGAAATTAAAATGATTGGTGATTTTATTCAATCATATATTCTATCACAAATTTAGTCAACATGAAATTCTGTTTTGAGTCACAAGAGCATAAAACTAATATATATACAAAGTTAACGCCTTCATGGCTCCAAACAGTAAAAAATGAAATGCCAAACTTATGTACATGCCTGTGATGTTGGTTGTCTTGCACTAACCCGAATATAATATTTCTTCCAAAACTCTAGAACAAACAGTTCTTACGTAATTTTATATGCATTCAATTTCCAGGAAGTAGCATTAAATGTATTACTTAAATGAACTACACGGTGCCTGCCTTTGTCTCTGAAAAAGTGGTGCCCCCCTCTCTCTCTCCTCCCCAACACGAATGCACACTCAAATCAATGACTGGATGTACAGACTATGCCATTGTCAGGTGTGGGTGTGTTTGTATTACCTATAGGGGGGGGGGGGGGTATTCAACTCAACTATTGAGAAAACGAGATTTAATAATCTAAATTTTAACAATTACACTGTAAAACTTCCATTCCTTTGAAACATGTTACACTACATGTACATTGAACAAATTATTTATACCCTTACCAAGTTTTTAAATTAGTATGTAAACAATTTATTTGTCCCGATTTACATTTCTTGAGAATGTAATATATTAAAGCCAACATATAATTTACCCTTAGTGGACCTTTTATTCTTGAATAACGAAAAACACAAGAAAAAAAAAATCAAATATACAAGGAGTATAAATAATTCATGTGTTAACTGTATATCTAAAATCGTTAAGGAGGGCAAAAAAGGGCATTTACATTTATAAGGTTATTTTTATAGCATAATGAAACCGGCAAGGAATATTCAAACTTCACAACACATGTTCTGAGGAAAAGTAGAAATATTGAACAAATAAATTGGTGAAAATTGAATGAAATGGACAATAATACAAAATAACAAACTTTATTCCAGAAAAAACATTTGAATGTTAATTTTAAATAAACGGTTGTATACTTGTGATGTGATTTGGACAACCCTTGCATACGCTATTTTAGACAAAATCAAAAATGAAAACAAAAATACATGTATAATTTCCAACTTTTGAGCATGGTAATTTGTAATCGAGGATGTTTCAGAACTGGCTAGCTATGATATAAATTAAAATGTTCCCTGCAAAAGAACAATGGAAATTCATGATACTGCATGATAATTTGCTCATTGAGATTCATTCACGGAAAGTAATCGTATCCGGACACCGACCCCTGGACATCAACCCCGGATAACCATCCTCTAGGACATCTACCCCCTAGGGCAACCACTCTCTCGGAAGACTACCCCCGGAAAACTAGCCCCCCCCCCCCCCACCAGGAAACTACCCCCTAGGATAGTTGTCAGGAGGGTAGTTGTCCTAGAGGGTGGTTATCCGGAGATGGGTGTCCAGGGGGTAGGTCACTGGGGGAATCGTTGTTCAGGGGGTAGGTGTCCTAGAACCGGAAGCAATACCAACTTCTGCACATTGCAACTGCAAAACATTGAAGAGAAAAATACATTACAGGATGATAAGAGAAATAAAATTGCATTGGTAACACTTTTTTTCCCTCCTAATTGTCGCTGTTTTGCCAGTTAGAGCGAACGATGCAAAGAAGAGTAAATAATCAATCAATAGTAATTAATCAACGTTTCTTATATCTCCTAGTCCTCCAAGTCATTTAAGCCATAACAACAACAAGATTGGATATATAAATGTATATTTGAATAATTTGATCACATTTTGAAAAACCATTCATAGCATCTGTAGACAAATATCTAATTTAACTAGATGTGCATACATCTTTAGTAGGTTCATATAGAAAATATATATTCAAATCGTGAATCCTTATCCATTCACATCAATCTGAAAATTATCTAACACTATCATTTTGAAGTATATATATATAGTTTTTTAATTTTATTTTATTTCAAATGAAATTAATTTTCTGTATTCTATATTTTTCTGTATGAAATGTGAACAGTTGATGATATCACATTATAAAAATTAACATGCATTACAAAGACATCAACTAATGGGAATTAATATCCTTGTAGGGCCTATGTCAGTTGATTTACTTTTCGGAAACTGGCAACTTTTTAAAATTCAACACATTTATAGAGTGTAGTGTTACATTTCCTCATCAATTTATGCAGTATCATGCTCAGTAAATCAATGTGGTTGGTGTGAAGAGAACAAAATTGCACTTACTTTTACACGATTAATCTTGGAGCTAAGCATCAGATAATTATAGACAGAGAAATGATAATGATTTCCATCTCGATTTTATGAATAGTAAATTTGAACTGAAACAGTGTTTCTTGATCCCTCTCACTGTGTAATTTTTTATGAAAATAGACACGTACTGTAATATTGGCAATTACAGAGCATGGTTTCAGAGCTATCAAGCCACAATAATGGTGGGACTATTCGTTTTGAACACTTTTACATTTACATATTTGGTAACATTCACTAGGAAATATGTTACACAATGTGGTTACTTTGTACCTTCACGTACATGTTATTTCAACATCAGACATTCCTGCAACCTGTGAATGAAATATTAATGATAATATATGTCAGTTAACAATTTCATTGATAGCTGGAAATCCCCATCCCTTCATATTAGTACCCCCTCCCCCATCTCTCTTTTTCTCTTTCTACTCCTTGTGATTCATTTAAATAGTTTTTTATTTGGGCTGGAAGCATATGAAGCTCTGTCTAGGCTGTAGCCCTTCTGTATCATCACGTCTTAAAGTAGACATGCAATGATAAATACAATTATGGCCAATAATTCATCACTAGAAACCAGGAAGTTCAAATGTGAATCAGACAAAAGAAAGTAACACAAATAAAAGTAACTCTCAGGATATAGGATATACGAGCACTAAACAAGAAAATTAAGCATGTTTTGATGATGTTGCATCAGGAAACAACCATGCTTAAGCAGACAGAGTCCTAAAGTCCTATGTAGTGGTCCTGTGTTGTGGACGAGTGGATACGTCACCGGACTGTTGATCACAAGGTCTGCGGTTCGAGTCCCGCCGCGGCACTAACGTCCTTTGGCAAGACATTGATCTACATTTGCCACACTCAACCCAGGTGAGGTAGATGGGTACCTGGCAGGATTATTCCTGATAACGGCTGCCGGAGCTAAAGGGTAATAATTTCCAAAGCTCTTTGGTAGCGCATAGAGGTGTTATTTCATAACGTATTATGCGCTATACAAGAACTGAATATTATTATTATTATAACTAATTAACATATTACGATTGAAATCAGCCCAATCTCCAATTGAAAAGCCTGCCGAACACTACAATGGAGGGTGTTGACTCTCGGTTGAAACGCTGCACGTGTGTTGAAGTCTGCACAGTGAAATAAGAAAACGATAGCATGGATGGTAAAATACAATTATGCAAACAAATCAAATGGATTCTATTCGGGTTCTGCAAAAGGTCTCGAATAAGAAAAAAATCAAATGAATTCTATAGACATAACAATTAAGTTGGAGGGATCTCTATTTCAAAGCCTTTATTTTAGGAATGAATGCATCTAATCAAGTACAACAACTGATCAATATCGAACATGTCATTATATCAAATCCCTAGATATAACTCTTCAAATACATGTATGGAGAATATGACTGGATATTCTATTCTCAATATATATTTCATGGGTATACTCCTAAAAACGTCGGAAAGGTTTTCTTATGCTGTAACCCCATTTATGTATGAGAGATCATGACAAAAGCATATATAGTGAGGCTTTGACACTTATCAGTTAAAAACACAAATTACCTTAGATTTGTCATTGACTCAGTCTTTCAGGAAAGTTCAGCTATGGCATGATTGGCATGAGCACTTTGGAGGAATACACGAATAGTGCCACTTGTTGTTGTCCTTTTTCTGTAAATAAGATTTAATTGAAACAGTACATTACATGTGCATAGTTATAGTTTAATAGAATAATGATTATAGTGTAGCTAGTCATCTTCCTGACTATGACAACGTTTACGAGTGAAAGTAAAGTAGGTACATAACAATTCCAGTACTGTTTTATCAGAGTCAGCATTACAATATATGTACAAACAAATATTGAAATCATGAAAATATGTAAGTGTGTACTTGCAAAGAGGCTAGTTCAATGCATTAGAGAATCTATAAATGTTAATCATAATGAAAAGGTGTATTTAAAAGAGAGGGAAGATCCACTACAAACACTGATGAACTTGATAGCAGAGAAATGACAGACAAAACTCAGTGAAAGTTTGAGGGAAATCCTATACAAAATAAATGTATGAATGCTTTACGTCTCAATTGACCAAATGATATCATAGCAACACAGGCAATTTCAATGGCCTTGCGCATCAACTTTTGAAATGTGCATTCATTACAAAGTTGTATTGTGAACATGATTTCTTTGAGATGTACAATAGGGTATTAAAAGCTTGTGAATGGAGTAAACAATTGACGTTATTTTAGTGACATTCCGTATGATATTTCCTGAATAAGACTACAACCATAGCTGTTAATATAAATGTAGCTCTATGAGATAAAAAATGACAAGTTACATTTGATATCATATATCTATTTGGCTTCATACACCATTAATCTTAAAATGACTTAAATGTATTCACTTTCTGTTTCTGCTATGGCCCTCTCTTGCTCCTTATTAGTCTGCAAGCACAGACCCTATATTTAACACTTCATTACAATAATTACATTATGACTTGAGTGAAGCCTAAATCTGTTCTTACTGCTATAAGTACATAGTCTGGATTGCATTTCCTTTGTGTGTTTGTTAGCTCAGTTCCTCTCGTCCACACTTTATTTCATTAACGTAATTTGCTCTTATATATTTTTTGGGTAACATAATTTATCCCCAATATATGTATATATATATATATATAGTCATATTAATGACTGAAGAAAGCAATTTTTTCATTTCAATTAAAAAGACCTAAACATACAGCGTATGTCTATGGGCTAGCTGAAATATAAAGTGGCAAGAAGCACAACAAAAAGGGGTGGGGAGGGGGGAAATTTGACTAAAAATCATGATATTTCACAAGAAAACTTTATGAAAACAGGTCGTATATACATTAAATGAACATACTTTTTCTTGGAATAATCTCCAGGGAAAGGACTTCGGCAAATGTAAAAGTGTAAATAAAATAAAACATAGCATTATTACATGTACCTGCAACTGCTACTTGGAGCTAACACTGATTCCTGAAATATAAGCCCTGAAATATTGTACGGTTGAAGGGAAATTCCATTTCAGCTGTATACGTCTGTCATATGGCTCCAAAGAAGACTGTAGTTAGGGTTATACAAACGAAAATTATAGAAATAGATACAATCAGTAAAAACATGTAAAATAAATAAAATTCAAAGGAATTTAATTAAGCATGCATAGTCTACAATGTATATATACATTTACAAGTTTCAAGATTCAGGTTTTATTTTCCATAATACATTTGTAATACAGAAATTTGTCTCCCATTGATGTTACATACAATTTAACATAGGCATAAAGATGATGTTGTATGCTAAGAGCCAAAGGAATGAGTGAACACCATTCCATCTTTCAGCAGACAGTACATAACAAAAACTTCATTCTGAGTCACATCATAAATGCATTCATACATAAATAGGAAACTGATGTAAATGACAATACCGCAACCTCTTCCGATCATAAAGAGAAAGAGATATTAGGAGCAAATTGAGAGAGAAAAAAGAGGGATGAATGGTAGACAGAGAGAGAGAGAGGGAAGGTAAAATCTAACCAGGAGCTGCAAAGACGTGTAGATACTCTACTCTTAAGGACCGCTAGATGAACCTCCATAGTAATATACTATACACAAAAACTTCAGATCACAGCTATCCAGTATACAGTGTAGGGTAGGCCCACTACCATGGTACATTTACAATTCCACTCAACATGTACTTCACCAGAATCTTGGACCTGATTTATTTACATGTAAGTTTAAAAGCATAAATAAGAAGTAAGCACAAATTATTTGCATCACTAATTCCTTGGAGCACTCTCTTTTGGTTCTAGTACTTGTGTATTTCAAATAATATATGTTCATGACATTTAAGAGATTGCTAATGAAATAGCAATTTGAAATGTATCAGTGATGCCATGCATCATGCTTTCTTTGTAATATCTAAAATATGACACATGTATAGCAAAAACAATCCTAACTTGCACATTAGATCCTCGTATGATTCATAAAGAGTACTCAGAAGATACTAAGACAGCACTACCGACGATATGGATGAATGAGTGCTGTTTAAGATGTTGCCAATCAACATCTTGTTGCATATTTTTTTTGAGATGCCCTGTATAAACAAAAAATTCACATCATGTTAGTGCCAGCTATGATTATCATTTGACATGGCAATTATATCATAATAAAGATTTGCCAAACCTTGCTATGGACTGTCCACAAATTTGGTCTCAAAGTCACTATAAAGGTTGTTCCAATCCATCGCAGTCATTAACTTTGAACAGAGGAAGGGTGAGGAAAACAAATCATCCCCCAACCCTCCTTAAAATACTAAAGCCAAGGGATGGCTCTACATATTACATAATATATCAAACGGAAATGAAATCATGCTGGAGTTAAAGAATAACATTTTTTATTGAGTGCTGTGCTTAAGCATAACAGTGACCACAAAAAAAAACGCGCACTCACCACACACACAAATCCAATAACGTTTAAAAGAAAGGCCAATATGTGTAGGAGATTGTATATCCTTATCACAAAGAGCAACAGCGTGGAATGGGATCAAAATAGAGAAACCTTTTATTTGAAGTAGAAAAATTATGCAAAGAATAACTTTGCACACGGAATTTATAACAACAAATTATGCTTTAGTTTGCTCTATTCGTATAAATATTGAAAGAAATGTCAAAGTATCATGGCCATGGGCAGATAACTGACCATAGTTACATGTAGTTACATCTTGGGTTATTAATACTATTCGGTGGTTAGGATCCTCGGGGAGAAGGGATTTATAAATAAAATAATAATTATTATTTTAGCTTAATCTATAGAACAGAATGGAAATTAAATGGACAAACTGCATCTTTCACTCAAGCGCATGACTGACCAGAAAATATGTGCACATGTACATGTAGGGCCATGCATGTCATTTTAAGAGCAAACATGGATGCTTGAAATTATACCATAGCTCATTCTGTCTACAACATTAAGACACATACTAGGATATTTTCTTTACATTGTTTGTCACAAGATTAGTAAAAAAAAAAAAGCTGTCCAGTTTTTTGTTAGAGGAATATGTGACCGATATATTTAAAAAAAGGGCGATAACAGAGTTGATAGAAAAGGGCCGATTAGGAAATACAAAAGGAATACACTTTTATAGTATAAACATATATGTACTTAAAAGGGAATTTTGGTACTCTTATACATCTAGCTTAAAAACGGCAAATTTGATTTCTAGACCATTCTAGATGCATTTGACTGAAATAAGTTGAGTTCCACAAATTACTTCATGAAATTAACATCATGAAAGCAGAAATGGATCCATCACCACTTTCAAAACATCACAGCTCTCTTGTACTACTGTTATATAAATTTAAACAGGCTTTTCTTCCACATGTTCAGGGTGGTCCACAAACAAATATTCAAACAAGTAAAATTAAAATGTGGAATAAGTATGATTTGATTTGATGTATGCAAATGACAAAGTCTCTTGTGGCTTGGCTCAAGGGCTTGTTTAAGGGTTCTCAGGCTCCTAGATGTATTGTAGTACAATATGTGCCATTTAATGAAGCATTTCCATGACTACTATTTCGAAAATGATTTTTTTGGTTGAGAAGTACTATTAACCTACCGGTAGCGATGATTTTCAAACCTGTACAATCACATTTCGACACTGTTGCTGTTACATAGTATAACCCTTATTAGTACGTGGGAGTTATTGGCAAAATGGTATTAAAGCCCACTGTCCTACTTGTAGCTACTTGCTCCCTCTATATACTTCCCCAATCGGTGCCTGTTGGTCCCCCATGATCCTCTTTTTCTTATGTTAGTTGAGAGCTGAGTTAATGAGATAGCCACCTGTCAGTGACCTCGCTGTGTGATCTAATCCCGTCTGGCCCGATAGTATTGACGGTCTTTAAAGGAAGGTATTTTGGAGAGACTTTGTTCAGTTCTGCATTCCAACTAATTGAATAACAATTAAATCTCTCATATCTAGCTGCAGATTCTTGGGACTACAATGTTCATGTAGCTGCACAATCTAGAGTCAGTATGAAGTGACTGACAATCAAATGAAGCTGAACACTTCCAAATGTAAAGTTATGCGCATTACCCAATCAAAAATCCCAGGTCAACCCCATTACCATATTAATGATTATACATTTGAAGTTGCTACGCGATATAAATACCTTGGCATTGTTTTGAATAATAAAATGACCTGGTGAAATCATGTTGATTATGTTGTATCAAAGGCTAATGGAATGTTAAGTTTCATCATCAGTGTAGCAAACAATCTGTCAAGTGACTCTCTGCTGTGTTTGTACAAATGCCTCGTTCTCCATATTATTGAATATGGCCAACCGGCCTGGTTCATACACAGTAGAGAAAATGTTGACAAAATGAATAGATACAAAGATGAGCTACACGAATTATTCTCAAACAGAGAAAACAGGAAATGGAGTATTCTGTACACCTCCAAACTTTAAAGTGGTACACGCTTTTTTCCAGGCGACATTATCTTATGACTAGCTTTGTTCTCAAAGTCTTTTTCGGCCTTATAAAATGTGAAGCTGTCCAAAATGCTATCTGCATAACCAAAGATATTCTGACACTGTATGATTCAAACATTTGAAAGCTTGCACTCAAAGACTCCATGGCTCTGCCATCCACACATTTCCCCGTGTCTGGGATACTCTCAATACTGATTTGAAGACTGTTGTTGTGTTATTATCATTTCTTACTTGGCTTTAAAACTAAAAGAACAAATCCTCAGTATACAAATGAGTTAACGTAAATTAGTTAATTATGATGACCTGTCTCTGTCTCAATTTTGTTTGTTTGCTGTTTTTGTTATCATACCCAGCTGCACAGCGCCATCTTCAGGTAAAATTCCAGGTTAAGTGTCGGATTTGAGTGCATGTATTCACCCTCCCTCCCCCCCCCCCCATTTTGTCATGGTGTTATATACATGTACACAAAGCTATATTTTCCCTCTTTTTTGTGCGGAGGGGGGGGGGGGCTAAGTTTCTTTATGTTTTTAATATCAATGATTATTGTTGATTAATAGTGATTTACAAATTGTTATACCTCACCATTTTATTGTTACCATTTCTGTAAAGTCACATGGATTGGAAAAGAAGACCTCCGGGACATAGTTATTTAGTTGATATTTTTCTTTTCCCAGCATCCATTTGGCTCTTTTCCAAATGTACTCTTTTTAGTATTCAATGATTTTCTTTGTTTTTTCCGAATAAAAAACATTAACAAATTTACAGAAACACTTGTATCTAATCTAAAAATCGATGTTTTGAAACAAACTTTTAAATTTAATGATTTCTTTCTTTCGTGCAAGCAGTTAAAATAACATGGCCCCTGTTCTACTACAATTATAACATACCGGTAATGCTGGATTTGATGTACATGTAGTCCGAAGTCTAAGATATCCTTTTGTTCTATATCAAGAGATGTTAATATACAAACCCATTGATTTATTTAGACTATCTTTTGATTTTATGGTACAATTAGTTTGAATAAAAAAAAAAGATGTCTAGAGTCAGTTTTACACGTTTAACAACGAGTGGTGGACGCCCCCCCTCCCCCAGGGTAAATAAATTTAAAAAGCAAAAAAGAGAGGTGAATAGGAGGAACTAGAGGGCTGATGACCTTATTATCATTAATACAAAATAAATTAAAAAAAACAGAAACCCTACCCTTCCTGAAGATTGATCCAAATAGTAGTATAAATATGTATGCACCTTACTTCTCTGGAGCAAATTCTGTTAAAAAAAAAAAATGCTACAGTGTCCTAAAGCTTTGGGTACAAGTATGCAGTTTAACTCCATACATATGCACGTGTTCACACAACCTAATATTAAAGTAGATTCTCACTGGAACTCTTAAAAATGTAGCTTTTGGATAATATTATTTATGTTTTGGCATTTCAAAGGGAAAGTAATCAGATGCCCTGACTGGGCTGGGCTGCACCTCCTTAACTGCCTAGGTCTAAGTTGACATTGTCCAAAATATATGATGTTCTCATGATTAATTTCGTAGAGCCATGTCTACATGTTTGTTTCTTTGGCTTGGTGTACAAATGTCAGAAGTAAAAATACGAGTAAAAATGTCAAAAAAGGTAAATTGTTCAGTTTTATTTGCTTTGAGAGATCAAACTCTGAAATTGACAAATTCATGAGCAACATATCAGAAACATAGTTTTACTGTACAAATTCATAGAATCATGAGACTGCTTGTATACGATAATATTGTTTGAAGGATATTCCAATATTTGGTGCAGGATTGATAAAATGTGTGCTGGCATACACGGTATTCCAACAAGTATATATTTGTACAAGTCTACACATTAAAAAAAATGCACCATGAATTTGGCAGAAAACAACGAGTGGAATTTGAGGAACTTAAACTGTATTTCTCTCACGTTTCTTAATCACAAACATGATGTTATTATATACAGTTACACTGTGTTATGTTTAAACCAACAAATAGAATAACTTCTGCCATAAAAAGCGAAAGCACATTACAAAATACCTGGCTAAATATGTCTCAACGTTTACTACATGTAGGCCTACTATCTGACATTCTTCAAGCGAAGCTCTGATATTGTTTGTTAAACTTTTGTAATAAAGTATTGATGAGAGGGGAAGCATATGTGTCTTTTTCTTGATGTTTTCTTATACAGTAGGCTTGCTGGTGCACCGTTTTCTTGTCATAATAACAGGCTCTGCTGGGATGAACATGAAGATGGGTCTGATTTCTGAATTTGTGGAATTTCTTTGCAATCTTTATAACCGATTCCCTGTTTTTATCTCATTCAATCTTAATATTCTATGTAATTACTTCCTCAAAATCAAATAAACATTAAAACATCAACCAACTTAGAAAATCGAAAAAAAGGTAAGAAATTCTTATACAATGTACATGTATATGCAAACCTGATCACAAAATACAAGTTTCGAATTTCCACATTGTATTATCCTTAGGACATGTACAAAGTACAATACACCATTTAGAAAATCGCGGAAGAGGTTCTATGAATTTGTAAAGTAAAACATTATGATATGGAAGAAGGGGATATAATGGACTGACCCAGTAGCTTGAATCTCGACATTTTGTGTGATACAGTGCTTAGATATTATGACAGCACTAATTCCCCTCCCCCTACATTTTTTTGTTGTACCTCTTACTTGTTTAGTTATTACCTCTGACTTTTTAAATCTGAAATTTTACCTCTGACATTTTTACCTGGCACCGTCTCTCCATACATGAAATTATAGTCATCCATTGTATGGGTTTTTTTCACGGGTGGGGGGGGGGGGGGTAATTGTCCACTGGGGTCATTTTCCGGGGGGTAGTTTTCCTCTGGGTGGTCGTCCTCGACGGGGGGGGGGTGTCAAAGGGGTTAATTGTCCTGATACGGCTTGTAGGGTATCACAGCGGTGCAAATGTACGAGGTAAGTCAGAGTTATCTCATGGATAGCCTTGCACTTGTGTCAGAAACCATGTATGTAGTTACACATGTAGGACACTGGAGCTGACAATAACCATAACCCAGAACCATACACATGTAATTGAAATGAGCCATGACAACGAGACTAGATATGACTGAGGCTGCAAGTTCCATCTGACCAAGGGTCCATGCATAATAAGTATCTGGTATGGGTTCCAGGGGCGGATCTAGCTTTTTGCCAGGGGGGGGGGGGGTGACCCAATGGTGATGCAGAGCATCGTCCACGAACCGCAAAGCGGCAGGGCAATTTTTTTTCTTCGCTATTTTGAACCCCCGTAAGTGATGTTTTCCTAGCATCTACTAACATGCGGAGCATCGTCCACGAGCCATATATAGTGGCAAGGCGATTTTTTTTTTTGCTATTTTGAAGTTTTCCTGGCATCTACTAACATCTACTAATACTGTGTGGGTCTGGACACAGTCATGATGGCGTTTTTCTATGCACATCACATTTTCACTTGGCAGCCCAAGGAGGGGGGGGGGGGGTAACCCCCTAACCCCCCCCCCCCCCCCCCCCCGTAGATCCGCCCTTGGGTTCCCTTGTGGCCATAACTCCAGTGGTTTAAATCGAAGGTCGAGTACTTGGAAGAGGTGAACAATAATCTGTTAGCGGTATCATTGTATTAGACAAGTGTGGAAGAACATTAGATTACAAAATGTTTCCGGAAAAGCATGGCTCTTCAAATGCCTCAATTTTCTAAATATGGCATGTAACATCATAACAATTGGGACAGATTTTTATGCCACATTTTCGTGTAGTCCCATACACATCTTTCTGTGTACAGTGATTGTATATTCCACAACGTTTCTTTCACAATGCAAATCACATGACCAGAACTCAACTTTATCTTTAACTGACAATTTTTGCCATAATCTGGCAAAAACTTTAAAAAAAAATTATATTGACAAATGAAAATCAATGTTAAACTTATAAATATAAGGACTAACCATATATGTCAGGTTTTGTGAAGCTGCTGAGCATGATGAGACAGCCAATCACACTTGGAAATTGGAACGCACAGACGTAACCTTCCCTGACTATGCCGTATGACGTCTAGTCTCAGTAGAACATCCGGCAATATGTCTATGCTTCTATGCACCCTGGCCTGATAATACAAACACAAACAATGGGACATGTATTGATGTACCAATCTCTCGAGATGATTGTGCAATGAGGATAAGGGAGACTAAGATTTTAGACATTTCATAGATTCTTGTATTATTATTGGATTAAAATTGGGATGAAATTTACATCAATCTAGTACAAAATCAATATTCTGCATTAATTTCAAGTCTATGTGTAACTTTGGCCTTACCCTTCACAACTGAGTAAAAGATATAATTTTAAACGAATAGAACAACTCAGGACCTAATTGGTTGAACACAATGTTATACTGTACACATGCAGCGATAATCTACTTCAAAATATGCCTAATTGAAATTTGTGAGTCATAACTTCAACTTCTGAATAGACTCTATGTAAAATCACGAAATATTTACTTGAAAATTTTGAAGTATATTACGAGAGCGAAAAGATTTTTGCATTTGTATTAGTCTAAACGCTGCTCTCTTGGACCCTCCAGATCCTAAAGGTGTGTTGCAGTCTTTATATAGTAAGTGTTTGTTTTGGGGGGCACTTTTGCAAATTTTCCGGGGAGGATCGACGACCCCTAAACGAATTGGCCCCATCCCACCCTCCCCCGGATCGCCGCCCCCCTGTGTAAAATCTAGATCAGGATTTTCAACCTCTTTTGGGTCACAACAACCTTTTACGAAACAATGTTTTTGTGTAGGCCCTAACCCCAATCTCATCAAGCAGGAACTGGAGGAGGGGAGTTGGCTCAGTCGGTCAATTCTCTGCCTGTCAAACAAAAAATTATGTGTCGGATTGTGGCAAAAGTCAGCCATTGTCCCCATGTTGTGTGTTGCGACAAACAGTACCGTCTGTGTACGGAAAGGTACCGGTAGACAGAATTCAGTTTTATTAAAGAATTCATCCCCATACCAGATGGCTTTGTTATTGTCTGGTCCTAGCGGATGCCACCACCTCCGGGGCCCCTTTCTCAGCTCAGCTCCCATTGCAAAAAATAAAATTATAAAATAACAATAACAAACATATACAGTGACAGCGAGTAGATCTATCATCAATTAACATTGAATTAGGTTGTACTGTAGACAGTGATATTTTCTGCATTACAGACATAGTCTTAGATAAAACAGATTTGAAAGAAACTCACGTTATATCCTGTGTGATGGCTGAGATATTGCCGTCTACTGCACTGCTTCTCGCACGTACCGTGAGTGGATCTACCCCAGTTCGTTTACAGCAGCCACGCAGGGCTCAGGCGGGTCAGGCCGCATGATCTCCGTTGCTCTAGCTCACTGTGAGCTAGGGCGAGCTCCCTATCCCTGCAGGTATCGTGGAGCTCTCGCTGGCCAAATGTCCGGGATTTCGCAGGTACTAGTCTCGACGGCATGCATGCAACGTGGGCAATGCATGCGCGCGTGTACCTACGCGGGAGCAGCCTTAATGTGCACAGAGAATATGATAGCCATTCTCCCTTGATTACCCTGGGAGATGCCAGCAACTAATGACCAATGGATAAACTGTACGAGGAATATCCTGGGAGACTGCGGTGCGATCTCCCTTGATTATCTTAGGGAGAGTTTGTGGATCAGGTGATTTGTAGTTGCCATGTGGCTAATTCATTGTGAATAATCATACATGAATAGTCCATTATTGGAATCATTGACACAGTGTAACCTCAATCTTGCATATAAAGATTAAGATAACAGGGATGGGGACTGGCGAATTTGATCAACTAAGATGTTCCGTTTAATTAAGATTAACATTTATACAAATATTGTGTCCTTCACAGATGGGTGAACCTTTGGAGGAGGTAAGTATAATAGGCTATTCTTCTTTATATCGTTAATATAAAATATAATAGCAACTTGTAATCGATTTGTTTTTTCTTCCAAAATTCGTGAGAAAAAATTTAGCGCCGAATCAACACCCTACCCTCCACCCTTGCGCCAGGTGGAGGGGGCTAGTCTTTTTTTCTATCTGAAAAAGGTTAATTTTTCCTGTTTTGGGGGCGAAGGGATCCCCCTTCTTTTTTTTTAATCATCAAACAAGTTCAGGAGTCATATTCGTATTTTTCGTCAACTCAAACTTTGCTTTTAGAAATACGATTTATCAAGATTAACAATTATTAACATTATTTATTTTTAACGGTCAATGCAAATGTCACACGCAGTATTAAGTATTTACAACAAAAAAGTTAAATATAAGTTTAACATAAATCTAAAATATTTTCTCTCTACAATAGGGAGAAGGTAATGTGATATGAACAGGCCTAATATTTTAAGTGGCTTTTTTATCAAACAAGTTTAGGAGTCATAGTCGCATTTTGTCGTCACCTCAGATTTTCTTTTTGATATTACGATTAATTCAAATTAACATATATTTACATTATCTGTTTATTACAGTCAATGCCAGTAAGTACATATTCTTTAATATCGTTAATATACATTTTTAATATCAACTTTTAATTTATTTAAATATATTATATAATGTACAATTTTGCCCACAAAGCTGAAACATTTTCTTCCTTTATTTACTCTATCCTTGGACATATTGAGACATCATGGTTTATTATCCACAGATATCGTTTGTATTTTCTCACTCGTTTATTGATCAATCCCTATGACCTTTAGACTAAGCAATACAGTTCTGAGAAGATATGAACTTTATCAAGAATAATTCATATGATCATAATCGATTCATAAAAAGACGTAAAGCAATTATTACAACTTCACGGCCAACAGTGTAGTATGGACTAAATACAGTGTATATATCATCGTAGTATCTACATCAATCAATAATCTAAATTGGGTATCAAGTTCCTTTTTCTACCGAGTGTTTGGAAATTAAGAAGAAAAATTCATGAATCGCATAGTCATAGGTTAAGTCACCAAAGTTCACTTTCGGAAATTTCTTATTTCAGAATCGCATTTGTGATGCATGGGTATAACTGTCTATTGGAATCTGAAACAACTTCGGTTTTAAATTAACATATAACAATAGCAAAACCACTACTCTATATTTAGATTAGCTATGAATTCAGTTGTGTACAATACAACTCTGCATGTAATCAAAGATTGAGATTATATTTTCCATCGATAAGATTCTATTTTTCATATAAATAATAATGCTCACTTCATTTTGCTCATAGGAGAGGTTTGGTAATATTAAATTAATATTTTTATCAGACTTGGACAAACAAATTCCGCGTGGAATGGAAATGAAAATAGATCACATGCTCTCGAAACAGAATCCTCGTTGTCGTCATATGGTTAAATTACGATGAATAACCATACATGTATAGTCCACTATTAGAATCATTCACACATTGGAACCTCAAACTTGCATACGAAGATGGAACTGATAGTGATTGGGATTGGCTAATTAGCGCAAACTTTTTTCAATCAATAACAAGTGTTTTTACAAAGAAGAAGTTATATAAAGTTTAACATATATCTGAAAACATTTTCTCTTTACAATAGAGAGAAGGAAAATGTGATATGAAAATGCCTAATATTTTAAAAGTGGTTTTAATCAAACAAGTTCAGTTGTCATATTCGCATATTTCTTCAACTCAAACTTTCTTTCAGATAATACGATTTATCAAGATTAACATTTATTAACATTATTTTTTTTTAACAGTCAATGCAAATGTCACACGCAGTATAAAGTATGTACAAAGAATTAGTTAAATAAAAGTTTAAAATAAATCTAAAATATTTCTTCTTTACAATAGAGAGAAGGTAATGTGATATGAACAGGCCTAATATTTTAAGTCTGGTTTTTATCAAACAAGTTTAGGAGTCATAGTCGCATTTTGTCGTCAGCTCAGATTTTTTTTTGATAGTACGATTAATTCAAATTAACATATATTTATATTATCTCTTTATTACATTATTTGTTTATTACAGCATAGATCAATGCCAGTAAGTATATACTCTTTCATATCGTTTATATACATTTTTAATATCAATTTTTAATTGATTTAAACATGTTATATAATGTACAATTTTGCCCACAAAGCTGAAACATTTTCTTCCTTTATTTACGCTTTCCTTGAGAAAATTGTGACATCATGGTTTAATCTTCACAGATATCATTTGTATTTTCTTACACGTTTATTGATCAATCCCTATGACCTTTAGACAAAGCAATACAGTTCTGAGAAGATATGAACTTTATCAAGAATAATTTATATGATCATAATCGACTCATAAAAAGACGTAAAGGAATTATTACAACTTCACGGCAAACGGTGTAGTATGGACTCAATACAGTGTATATATCATCGTAGTATCTAAATCAATCAATAATAATGAATTTGGTATCAATTTTTTTTTTCTACTGAGTGTTTGGAAATGAAGAAGAAAAATTCATGAATCGCATAGTCATAGATTAAATCATAAAAGTACACTCTCGGAATGTTCTTATTTCAGAATCGCTTTTGTGATGCATGGGTATAACTGAATATTGGAATCTGAAACAACTTCGGTTGTGTACAACACAACTCTGCATGTAATCAAAGATTGAGAGTACATTTTCCATCGATAAGATTCTTTTATTCATAATGCTTACTTCATCTTGCTCATAGGAGAGGCTTGTCAATATTGAATTAATATTTTTTTCAGACTTGGAAAAACAAATTCCGCGTTGAGTATAAATGAAAATAAATCACATGACCTCGAAACAGAATCATTTGGTCGTCATATGGTTAAGTTATGATGAATAATCATACACGTATAGTCCACTTTTAGAATCATTGACACATTGTAACCTCATACTTGCATATGAAGATGGAACTGATAGGGATTGGGATTTGCTAATCAGCGCATAGTTTTCCAATCACTAACAACTTGTTCACATAGAAGAAGTTTTATCATGTTGAACATAAATCTTTAAAAAATTCTCTCTTCAATATGGAGAAGGAAAATGTCATATGAAAATGCCTAATATTTTAAAAGGGGTTTTCATCAAACAAGTTTAGGAGACATATTCGTATATTTCGTCAACTCAAACTTTCTTTCAGATAATACGATTTATCAAGATTAACATTTATTAACATTATTTATTTTCAACAGTCAATGCAAATGTCACACGCAATATTAAGTATTTACAAAGAAGAAGTTAGATAAAAATTTAACATAAAACTAAAATATTTCTCTTTCGATAGGGAGAAGGTAATGTGATATGAACTGGCCTAAAATTTTAAGTGGGTTTTTTATCAAACAAGTTTAGGAGTCATAGTCGCATTTTGTCGTCACCTCAGATTTTCTTTTTCATATAACGATTAATTCAAATTAACATATATTTCTATTATCTTTTTATTACATTATTTGTTTATTACAGGAAATTTCAATGCTAATGAGTATATACTCTTTCATATCGTTAATATACATTTTTAATATCAAATTTAATTGATTTGAACATGTTATATTATGTACAATTTTGTCCACAAAGCTGAAACATTTCTTTCCTTTATGTTAGCTTTCCTTGAAAGATTGTGACATCATGGTTTATTATTCACAGATATCGTTTGTATTTTCTCACTCGTTTATTTATCAATCCTTATGACCTTTAGACTAAGCAATACAGTTCTGAGAAGATATGAACTTTTTTAAGAATAATTCATATGATCATAATCGATTCATAAAAAGACGTAAAGCAATTATTACAACTTCACGGCCAACAGTGTAGTATGGAATCTATACAGTGTGTATATCATCGTAGTATCTAAATCAATCAATAATCTAAATTGGGTATCAAGTTCCTTTTTTCTAATGAGTGTATGGAAATTGAGAAAAGAAATTCATGAATCGCATAGTCATAGATTAAATCATCAAAGTAAACTCTCGGAATTTTCTTATTTCAGAATCGCTTTTGTGATGCATGGGTATAACTGAATATTGGAATTTGAAACACCTTCGGTTTTAAATTAACATATGAAAATAGCAAAACCACTACTCTTTATTTAGATTAGCTATGAATTCAGTTGTGTACAATACAACTCTGCATGTAATCAAAGATTGAGGTTACATTTTCCATTGATAAGATTCTTTCATTCATAATGCTCACTTCATTTTGCTCATAGGAGAGGCTTGTCAATATTGAATTAATATTTTTATCAGACTTGGACAAACAAATTCCGCGTTGAGTGTAAATGAACATAAATGACATGCCCTCGAAACAGAATTATTTTGGTGGTCATATGGTTAAATTAAGATGAATAATCATACATGTATAGTCCACTATCAGAATCATTGACGCATTAGAACCTCAAACTTGCATACGAAGATGGAACTGATAGGGATTGGGATTTGCTAATTAGCGCAAACTTTTCCAATCACTAACAAGTGTTTT